TACCAAAAATAGAGAATTTGAGATTTTGACATGAAATGAACAAATCCGAGAAAGAACCATCCAAGGTACTTGCATATCAAATTTGAAAACATTCTGATTTGTGGTTTCGAAGAGGAAGTTGAAATTGTAAAGTTGACGACAACGGACAATCAGTAATATGAACAGCTCCGCTGTCGACAAAGTTCATGTTTAGATGGTAATCAACTAGCACATAAACATGTACTGTGTGTGCAACAGCACTAAACCAACCCGGTTATTACTTATTTTTTATAGGCGATGCATTCTCAGTGATCGAGTGAAAGATTCACCGTGACGTGTATAGCCAGTTAATTTGGTGTCGTATATCTACCTACATTCACTTTAACATAGTATATACGCTGCCACGCAAACAATTCACATTTAGTTATTTGCATATAATTATGACCTATCATATTACTCATCGTTGGCCAAACTAAGGTTATTGTTTCAGCAATTTGTTATTTTCATAGGGAATAGAAGTTTCCAAAAATGTAGCTTATGAAAATGGTTTAAAATGCCAGGTGATGTATCAACTTTACACAATTACCTTATAATGAAGTAGTCATCACTTCCTGAAGACTTGCCACTGCCTGAGCACAAATGTCAATACCCTCAGTAGCAATATCTGAATGAACCACAGTAGCAATACCTGGATGGTTCTCAGTAGTAATATCTGGATGGACCACAGTAGAAATACCTGAATGGGCCTCAGTAGCAATATCTGGATGGGCCTCAGTAGCAATATCTGGATGGACCACAGTAGCAATATCTGAATGGACCACAGTAGCAATATCTGAATGGACCACAGTAGCAATATCTGAATGGACCACAGTAGCAATATTTGAATGGGCCTCACTAGCAATATCTGGATGGGCCTCAGTAGCAATATCTGTCACTGGCTGAATGAATACCACTTGATGGACCTCTTCAGTAGCATTGTCTGCGTTGGGCAAAAATCTACAGAACTTTCGATGATTTTCAAGACTTTTCTTTCTATCAAAACTGTGATGACACTGGCTGCAAGCAAACCTTCGGGAATGGATCTTCAGATGAATGTGCAGGGAATCTTCTGTTTTGAAACCTTGTTTGCAATGGCCACAACGAAAAGGCAACTTGTGAGTAGCCTTGTGTTTTAGCAACTGATACTGTGCTTTGAAAGTCACTCTGCATATAGTACATACAAATGGTCTAGTTGTATTATGTGTTGATTCATGATTTCGCAGGTTTCTTTCAGTCTTGAACTTCTTACCGCAAGTAAGACATGTGTGAGGGCGATGATCTGAATGTGCAATCATGTGTTTTTTCATACACTTAACATTCAAAACGATTCCACAAGTTTCACAGGCAGCAGTAGGACCAGTTTTATGAACATGGTTTTGATGAGCAGTTAAGTTTCCTTTTTTTTTAAACAACTTCCCACAAAATTCGCATTCAAAGGGCTTTTCATCATTATGCAATTTTTTATGGGCATTCAAACTCTGAATGTAACCAAAAGATTTCCCACACAAATGACACAGGAATGGTTTCTCCTTTGTATGCGTCTTTAAATGATCTTTCAGTCCAGTTCTGAATGTCTTTCCACAAGTCGGACATGTGTGAGGACGATAATCAGAATGTGTAATCATGTGCTTCTTAAGGAAGTTGACATTCATAACTTTATTGCAGACTTGACATGCAGTGGTTGGACCAGCTCGATGAACACGTTTTTTATGATCAGTTAAGTTTCCTTTCGACTTGAACCCTTTACTACACAAATCACATTCATAGGGTTTCTCATAGCTGTGAATTTTTTTATGAGCATTAAAACTCTGTATGTATCTAAAGGATTTTCCACACAGATGACATAAGTATGATTTTTCTTTTGTATGCGACTTCATGTGATCTTTCAGTCCTGCCTCTCGGGCAAAGTCCTTACTGCACACAGTACATTTAAAGGGTCTCAGATTTTCATGAACAGTTTGGTTATGGAGCTTAAGAGTTTGTGGGTAGCCGAAAGACCTGCCACACTTCTCACAAACATATGGCCTTTCCCCTAAATGGACTGCACGCATGTGCAACTTAGCTTTATTTGCGGCTCTGAATTTTTTTCCACAAGAAGTACAAGCATATGACATTTTACCAGACTTTTTAATTTTATGCGAGAGACCTTCCAAAGGCTGCACATACAAAGGATCCACCAACTTCAGAGCTTCTGAATCTTCCATGTGGCACTCGCGTATATGTTTATCAAGTGCTACTCGTGTTGCATATGGAATTTTACATAATGGGCAATTTAATTGATTTGTGGAATTCATCTGCACAGACTTTCTTCTGAATTTTATCCCTGGATGTTTACTGCGACAGTGAAAATGCAGGGCAATATTTGAAACTAGCCTTTCATCACAAACCTTGCAAACAAAATTCTTGTCACTTCTGTGTGACATCATATGCTGTTTCAATGCATGAATACTATCTAATGTTTCGTTGCAGACATTACATTTATGAAGAGCCCTTGTAGTTTGTTGGTCAGAGTTTTGTGTACTTTGATGTAATTGTTTTACATGTAATTTGAAGTCAAGTAGGTTGTTGCATGGAAACTCACATAAAGGACAGTTGAATTCTGTACCTCCCTCTGTTGATTTTAATCCATCTTTTGTTACATCATCTGAATGATCCAACTCTTTCTCATCTTTCTCAGCACCCTGGGCAGCAATACTAGTTTCTGCCTCCTCATCTAGGACTGTGGTACTATTTTCATCATCCCCAGCCTCTTTATCTGTCATAGCAATACTATCATCATCCAGGGTAGCTGTACTAGTTCCAGTCTCCTTATCTACCTCAGTTGTGCTATGTTTATCATTAATTAGAACAGTGTTCCCTAAAGTATCATCATTTGTCAATCCCAGGTTGGATTCTTTTTCACAAGTCCCACCATATGTGACAATCATGTCATTGTTTTCATCAAAGGATAGCACTTTCTCTTGTTCTGCAGCTGCAACAATATTCATTGATGTCACTATGTCAGGATCAGGATCTACTGGAACCCCAATATCACGAACATCAGTTTCATCCTTTTGTGCAGTATCTTTAACAGAAATTGATATCCCATCCTTAGTTCTGTCATGCTCCTCTGCACCAAGATTATTATCCACAATAAATCTGCCAGGACTAATTTGTGTGATTGAGAGTCTTGTATCTTTCTGCTTATCCACAGGATTATTACTGCCATTTGAATGCTTTTCTTTCAAATGATTCTTCAGTTTACTCATGTCCCTACAAGTTTCATCACACAATGGGCAACTAAACATATCACCGAACTGTGAATCACCTTCTTCCTCACAATCATTACTTGATTCTGACATTAGTTCATCCTTACTGTGTTCCAATAAATCTTCTCCTTGCTTCCTTGGTGGTTTGCTGATCATTTCAGGATTCACTTCACCATGCTTTGTTCGACAGTGTTTATGCACATTGGAACTTGTAGTGAACTGACTCCCACAAACATTACAAGTGAAATACTTGTCTAAAGTAGCCGTTTTTTCGGAACATTTACCAATCATTTCCGGCTTTACTCCCCCATGTTTTGTCCGACAGTGCTTATAGAGATTTGAACTTGTAGTGAATAACTGGCCACAGAGGTTACACGAGTATGGTCGTTCACCAGTGTGTATTCGCATGTGTCTTTTCAGTCCAGTGCTACCATACAGTGTTTTATTACATATTTCACATTGTAGATTCTCATTCAGGTTTGTTCTGCTTCGGGTGTTTTTACTTGGACTTGAGAAACTGTTGGTGTTATTTACAGCACTACTCACACTATTGTTATTTTCAAATCGAGATGTGTGTCTCTTTTCTGACTTCTCGGGTGAGTCAATGTCATTCGTACTTAAAGATACATCACCAACATGATCATTTAAATTATTAACATCGGCACTATACTGATTTAAGGCTTCAGAAGTTGTTTCTTCTTGTGACATTACAAATTCCTGTAAATCCTCTCCTTTCCTCTCAAAAGTACGCTTTTCAGACCCTATTTTCTCTGCAATATTTTGACTTGTTTGTGAAGTTGAACTACTCATTGAATCTTCCTCAATTTCTTGCACAACAGATGTGTTCATATTTCTCCCAATCATTTCGGGGGTTGCTTTACCATGCTTACTGCGACAGTGTCTATAAAGGTTAGAACTAACAGTAAATTGGTCTCCACATACATTACAAATGTATGGCTTCTCACCAGTATGTATTCTCATGTGCTTTTTCAGGCGGTCAGCAGAAAAACTTTTATTGCAAAATGTGCATTGCTGATTCGGTACACTCAATGGTCTTCTGGGTTTTTTGGCAGATAGTTTATCGTGTCTTCGAGCACCAAAGCGTGAAGCCAAATTTGGAGTTTTTTTACATCTTCTAGACAAAGTTTCTTGTCGTTTTACTGTTTGAGGAGACCAATCACAATCTTGACTATCATCACCAGATGGTTTTCCATCTTCAACTTCACTGTCATCAGAATCCTTATTTATGTTAACTTCCTTTGCTGTTGAACAATTAGACTCAAATTCTTCTGTGTTTCTTGTCTCGGTAAGACTGACTTTTTTCTTTACTGATGACTGGACTGCATCACCTCCACCTGCCATCTTCAATACTTCTACAGTACATTTCTGAGGAGATGAAACCTTCTGTGAAGTATTTCCTGAATCTGCTGCATTTGCAGGTACTTTAGTGAATCTCTTCATGAAAGCGATACATTCAACACGCAGAGTTTCCACCTCAAACATTTCAGCAATGTTTACCAAATTATTGGCATTTTCATCATTTACTTTTATCTGACCAGTATATACATACTCTACAAATTGTTCTAATGATTTAATATCCATATTGTCAATTTGGAGTGTACCTGCATCAGAGTTGGGCTCATCTATGTATAAAGTTCTCTTAGCAAATTCACTGACAGCAGTGAATACAACTCGATGACAGGAAACTTCCTGCTCGCCATTACTTAGTCGTAAATCTGTCCCAATATTGTTTTCCCTCATAATGTTCAGTTTGTCTAAAATGATAGCAGAATGGTTGGAGCTCTTCAAAACCCACTCACTGGCAGTGTTTGAAGTGTTCATCTTGGAAAGTTCAATAACAGTGGAATATGTTACAAGGAATTTGAATCTGCAATATAAAAGAAAATGAAAATTATGCTACAGTATGTGTAAGAAACTACTGAACTACAGTGCTTCCATGTGATGCGAATTCAATATTCGTTGACCACTGTTGACTGCAAAATTAACGTACAACCATTTCTGTCTCAAGATTATGCAAGTTGATTTATAGGTTGATTCAAAACTAATGATACACTCAGATTTAATCCATTTGACCAAACTGTTGTTTGACGTTAAAGTTAAAGTTAGTAGTGACAGATTCAACTACACACACAGTATGAATGTGTAAAATTCAAAAGCATTTGAACAGTATACTATGACAATATATAATAAACAGACTGAGAAGCAAATTCATATGCAAATTAACTAATTAATATGCAAAAACAGGTATCAGATTTTCATCTGCACAAACAGCAAGCACATACAAAGTTTCATGTCATTGAAAGTTATGCAAATTAGCTAATTGAAATGCAGAGCAAAGGATTCTTGAGATATCAGGGGAACGGTCACACACATTCTTATCGTACCATCGTTGTGACAACACACATTGGATTAACTTTCAATATAGTCAAATAAACTATTATTGTTGCGATATGAACTAGATTAAAACGCATTCCTGTAGGATTGCGTTTTAATTGGAGTTTAATTAAACTCAATTACAATGCAATTCAACATAGAAATGCGTTTTAATTAAGTTTAATCAAATATAAGTTGAATATCCCGAGACTGAACATAGAAATGTTTGGGTAGCTTAGGTTTAGTAAAGAGGGTAGGTATGGTACAATTATATTAATATTAATATAAATTGAACCATACCTTCCCCCTTTACTAAATTAATTAATTAAATATTAATATAAATTATGAAAATAGTGAGGGTCGTCACAATGTAGGGCCTGTCATTACAAGTAAGTCATGTAAATTTAAATTGAAGTCATCACAACGTACCACACACACACATACACATACAGACATTTGCACATTGGAGTCCAAAATTGATTGTAAATCTATGGATTGTGGTCTGTAGAGTATCACAGATGACCTTTGTTCCAAGCTTCATTGAAGACCATTAGTATTAATTAAGTGGTTTTTAGTACATTAATTTATGCAAATTAAATAATTAATACCTACAACCCTAAAGTAATAAGATATGTTCATTATCTCAGAATATCTATGTACCAAGTTTCATTGAAATTTGATGAGTGATACTGGAGTGATCTATGGAACAATTAAAATTTGCTAATTTATGCAAATTAATTAGTACATACCAATTTAAACTCACAGGTAATAAAATAATGTTTGATATCAGTGAAAAAAGGTTAAATTAGTGCGATTATTATGCAAATTATGTAATTCAGATGCACACACACAAATTATCTAATATATATTTATTATATTTTTTTTATGAAATATACAAGAAATTGAAAACAAAATTATCATGACTATCATCTTGAATTGAAAAGCTCATGGTATGATATAGTTTACAGCATGCCATGTATATCATACTCATTTGACCAAGGGTACTTTTCTCAAAAGTCCTGTTTTTTAGGGGCAAGAGTTTAGTCAAGCACCCTACTCAAAAGCTGATCTAAAAGATAATTTTTGTTCACCAGGTGCCAAATTTGGGGAGTCTTTTGGGGGGGGGAAATGAAATTACAAATTGACTTGCGGCGTCATTGATTTTCACAACACATTTACAATGACAAAACAGAAATGATCACAAAAAATATGTACATTTAATTACAATATTATAGATCCCATACTTTTTTTCCTGTTTATTATTTCCTACATAATATGAGGTTATTACAAGGATACTACAAAGCATGAACGAAGAAAGTACAGCGGAAGCATCGACCGACGCGCAGCTGTGTGTACTGTCCGAGTGCATAACTTGTAGCATCCTCCCAATAACCCTATTATTATAATAATAATATTCTTTATTGAAGTCGTATCCTAAAAATGGACATAGATCAAAGTACAATAAAGCATGGTTGTCATTCCATGTCAAAAACAATCAGAAGAAAGAAAACATTTATTTTTATACCATCAGAACAATGCCCTCTGACGTAACAGGTCAAATTTGCAAAATATGTATTTTCTAGTGTCTTTGTTCAAATTAACCTCAAACAACATCCATGGCTAATCTGAAATGAAAATATGCCACGTTTAAAAAAAAATCTGGCATGTGTTAGTAACACATCAGATTTCAAAACAACAATTTCAATAATTGTGCCCATATCGACCCATGGGTAGAAAAGGTAGTGTATTCACATTAAAAGAATTGCAGTTCCCAAATGAGGCCATGGAACAAAGGTCCTGATGCAAACAAGCATGTCCACTGCGTGGTCAGAATGGGCGTTATTTATACTCATTGGGTGCTCACTCGCACCCTTATGAGTCCTGCTATAGAAAAATGAGATAGGCTTATCAAATTTATATGCACTGTTTTGGATCAACCACTGGGAGCCCAGGAACTATGAACAACTGTACACAGTCTCTATGAGCTGGGGGGGGGGGGGTATCGGCTGGTATCTAGTGTAAGATATAGACAAGGGATGAAAGCTCCAGCCAGCTCACATTTTATAAACTCGAAAAATCAGTCAGAATGAAAAATGAAATCTATAAAAAATACTAGCTTGAACAATATTAGTTGAACAAAATGTTTAACCCTTAATGCATTAACACATCATTATTGTTATTACCTTTTTAACAATAGTTTATTCTACCTTTATTATTGCTGTTAGTGGGATTTACTACTATTCATGTTTTTATTTTTTATTTTTTTATTTTGATTATTACTATTTTTAATCATTACTTTATTCTTAATGTTTTGTATTATTAGTCTAGTTTTGTTTAGTGTAAATGTAACCATTTTAATTCCTCCTGGGGAATTTTACGTGTTTAATAAAGTATAAGTATAAGCACAGTCCCTGAGGGTGTTGAGGGACTGTGGTATAAGTATAAGTTTCTCTTTCAAACTGCATACAGTTGCTAATAGTTCCTGGGCTCCCTGTGGATCAACCAGATGAGCCAAACACAAACTAATAACTGTCAGAACTTATTATCTCAATTACACTGATTGAATTGAGTTTAAGATATTGCTCGTGGACATGCGCATTCAATGCATTGGATCCATGGCAGTGTTGAGCGGACAGCCAAATAAACGCCCACTCCGACAACGCCCTGATTTCAGCGCTCGTACACCTTTACACAAAGCTGAATAACGTCGTGTTTAGTGGTTTGATACGCCGCCCACGTAAACGACACTAACTGCGCCCGTGAAAGCCCATACCACTAAAACAGACTGGTCTTGAATAAAATCAAATATTCAGATGTCCTGAAATCGTTCATAGGAAACTGAATATGACCTCCAATTCAAAATGGCTGACAGAGGATTCGTGCAGCGCTGTAAAGTGCACTTACTTCTGAATAGTTTAGACCCGATTCATATTTACTAACAATTCTGGACTGGACTAGATTATACTTTCGTTTTTCGGTAGATCCTGGTTATGTTCTTCGCTGTGTATACTCGCCCATTTTTTAGATAATAACAACAGTTTTCGAATCTGGCCACGAGATCGACAGGTTAGAATGCTTAGCTCCTGATTCGTTTGCGGATTCGTATTCATTATCGGGCTTAGGTTTGAGTGATTAAAAAGTATTAATATACTTCATTGTATGTTTTTATAAATTCCATAAAATACGGATTTTAAAAGTAATACAAATCGGAAAAAAACACATAAATATCAACAACAACAAATCGAAACCACCATATCTGCAAATTTAAATGAATCGAATCCGAGGCCAACTTCAGCATCGTAACTGAAATTTATCACACTTTACATAGAGGGCGTTCGCTCCTAGCGTGCTTCACGCACAAGTATAATTTCATATGTTTGCACCATATTTTTTAGAAGCAATCCCAATGTGATACAACAGAGAGAAATGAAAAACAAATATTTGTCGTCATAGTTACAATACAAACAAATCAGAGAATGTCATTTTCAATTGGATAAACTCTCAAAAACAATGTACCGATACAGGGTTGATTACACACTTTTATTTTTAGCCCATGAATGGCTGCTCGTCACTAGTACATCACTCCTATCCTCGGGGGCGGACATCCGGGCATTTTCTACCGCCTGGCAACCCTGGCGGTGAAAACAAAGAGCAAAAACTCGCAGAAAACGGCACTTTGCGATTGTTGTTGAGAGTCCCCTGAACAGAGTAACAAGATTTGCCCTACGTGTGTAACATATATAAATTCGGTTGTTCAGGATTACTTCAAAGTTGAGTCATTGTGTTGTTTTCTCGAATTTTCACCGGCTCCACCGGCGTTCCACAGCAGCGCGCACAGAGCCCGTAGATATACGTTGTACGGTGGTGCGCGTCTTAGCAACGTAGAACCACGTCTGTGACGTAGCTTCGCCCCCGAGGATAGAACACACCCAAATGTAAGAATATTTACATACCTCGTGAGTACTAGTAACGTGACCCGTCATTAGATTTTGTAAGTTTGTTTATTTATATTTAATGTTGATGTCATTGCAAATGTTTCAAATTGTCAAACTTGTGTACTTTTGGGTCGATGACCTGTGGTGCAGTATCTTCCTATATCTCAAATATTATCGTGACTGGCATTACACTCTTTGTTATCCTATTTTCTCAGATTACCGTTGTTCCTAAGATACTGTTCTCAAAATACTATTTTTTGTATAATAATTTGCCAATTCCAACAACAAAAAAATGGAAAGTAGCACTATATCATGATGTCTGTCATGCATTTTTACCTGTTTTCGTCACGAGAATTAGTTTCATTAGTAACATTTTCCCTGAAAGAACTAATTTGGGAAATTTACCTTGATCAAGTGTTTTGTACATTCTATCCCAATTGGTGGGTTTGTAATGTATAAAAATATGTACTATAATGTCAGACTATATTCACTTGCTCCACTTCCACTCCAAGA